AACTTTGAACAAATATTAAAAAAGAAAAAGAAAAACTAGAATTATCCAAAAATGTTAACCATGGCTCTCTCGTGGTAGAATTATGATTCTTATTTTGATTAATTCTTACTTTACTTCTTTTCAAATATTTCACAATGCATGTGCATTACTATTCTAAGGAGAAAAAATTGTTTAGGGCTGGGGAGGTAGCTCATTGCTAGAGCACTAGCCTATCACATAAAAGGCCCTGAGTTTGATCTCCAGCACTCGGAGGGAAAAAAATTTTAAAAAGAAAAGGTAAGGGCTGGGGATGTGGCTCAAGTGGTAAGCGCGCTCGCCTGGCATGCGTGCGGCCCGGGTTCGATCCTCAGCACCACATACAGACAAAGATGCTGTGTCCGCCAAATACTGAAAAATAAATATTAAAGTTCTCTCTCTCTCTCACTCTTTCTTTAAAAAAAAAAAAAAAAAAAAAGCTGAGGTCTTTCAAATATATATTTAAAAAAAAAAGAAAAGAAAAGGTAAGAAAAGACATTATGAACAAGTACATGCAGAACAGACTGAAAAATAAAAGGATATAAATTTTTTTTTAGGGGCTGGAGTTGTAGCTCAGTGACAGAGCACTTGCCTAGCATGTGTGAGGCACTGGGTTCGATCCTTAGCATACCTTTATTATTTTATTATTATTTTTTTTAATGCAGTGCTATCCATCTACAACTAAAAAAAWTTTTTTAAATGCTTTTTTATGTGTATGTATGACTTATTAATGACTCATTTTATTTAACTTTACAGTTTATAAAGTGCTTTTATTTAATTTTCACAGCTTTATTAAATGTATTTTTTTTGCAATTTTATCTCAGCTGCATAAAAAATAGTGTCAAGAAGGATTGGGAGTTAAGCAGAAGAAATACACAGCTGAAAATAAGTATGAACTTTATTCAGATGAATGTAGTGATTGGCAGGGTAGTGACTCCTAAGAAATGACATATGTAGGGCTGGGGTTGTGGCTCAGCAGTAGAGCGCTTACCTGGGTTTGATCCTCAGCACCACATAAAATAAATAAATAAAATGAAGGTATTGTGTCCAACTACAACTAAAAAAAAAAGAAGCAACATATGTAATAATAATATTTCATTTGTTGTTCTCTATGTCTTCTATCTTTAGCAGGTGGCTACTCAGGCTGCAGCCAAAACTCGTTCTTCCCAATTTGGTGTGGGCAACTTTCAGACTTCATCCTCATTCAGCCCCATGTCTCTTCCTGGTGCTCCTACTGCATCACCCGGTGCTGCCACCTATCCTACTCTAACCAATCGTGGATCCAACTTTGGTAAGTTCAGACCAGAAGAAGGATGTCAGAAAGATCATACCACTAAAGAGAAAGAGCGGATTTTGTAGTTAAAAATGGTTTGCCTGTGTCCTGGATATACTGACCTAATTACCTACCTACATGAAAAATATGTTAGCACATGTAACAAAACCATGCAAAATATTGTAATTTTACACAGATTTTACTATATAATTTTTTAAAAGCATATGCATATAATGGCATGCATATTTAATCTAAATAACCAAAGTCCTCTTTGGAAAGAACTATATAAAGAAGAAAAGTTAATTGGCGACTGGATTTTGAAATAGAAAAGACATTGATAAACTCAAGGACAGAAGATAATCCAAGTAAAATTAATGACTTGCGTTTAGCTATGTACTAGTTTTTCTTCTCCAGTAGAAAATTAGTAGATTGAACTTGTTTATTCTTTACTGTGTTTCTAGCTCCTGAGACTGGACAGACTGCAGGACAATTCCAGACACGGACAGCAGAGGGTGTGAGTGTCTGGCCACAGTGGCAAGGCCAGCAGCCTCATCATCGTTCAAGTTCTAGCGAGCAACATGTTCAGCAGCCTTCAGCACAACAACCTAGCCAGCCTGAGGTCTTCCAGGTGAGAGGGTGAAGACTTCAGAAAATCAGAAAATGGGTCAAGAAGGAAAGATGAAAAGATGGAGAAGGAAGCATGCCTTGGTTGACGTGTAGGCAGAGGGTGTATGGGAGAAGACAGGGAGGGTTTAGTGTTAGTAATTGAGAACATCTTGAACTTAGTGTGATATCCTTTAAAGAGACTAGACAGAATAGTTATGTGAAGCACCATGCAAAGATGCCAAAGAAAGTTATTTTAGCTCATCCATGAAGATCCATATCTTTATTTCATAGCAGCTTTGGGTTTAAAATAGGCAGAACAATTTTTTTAAGTGTATGAAATGGAATTACTAAATATACCTCTAAAGGTCTATTTCTGCAGAATGAGTGGAGTTTTCAAAGACATGAAATAACATTTCCTCAGCTTCTAAATAAGAATCATRCTTCTACCACGAGAGTGCCATAGATAAAATTTTGGGATAATTTCAGTTTTTTTTTTTCTTTTCTCAATATTTGTTCAGAGTTTATTTATCAAGAGAAACTATTCCTTAGCTCACGTACTCATGTTTCATAGTACTAGAAAACAGATCAGTGACAAACTGCTTCTTTGCTTTTTTATTTTTTATTTTTTTTGTAATGGGGAATGAATCCAGGGGTGCTTTACCAGTGAAGCCAAAGCCCCAGCCTTTTGAATTTTTTATTTTGAGACAGGGTCTTACTAAGTTGCTCAGGTCATCAACTTGCAATCCGCCTGCCTCAGACAAAGAAAGGGCTAATATAAAGCACATATTGAAAGAAGGCAAAACAGCTTTTGGTGGAAAACAAATAGGATAAGAGACATTCCGTATATATCTTTAGTGGGTTATGAAATGTGGTAAGCATATTTTTCTCCTCTTGAAAATATTGAAGACTAGAAAAAGGAAAATGTGCAAGTGTAGGGGTAGACAGAGACTGGACTAGGAAAAAAAGTCTGTAATCTAAAGGAACCAGTTGCTGAGAATAAGGAAGGCTGAAAGCTTAGCACAGCAGAGACCTTTTGGGGTCAGGGATAGAGTACAGAGGAATATTAGGAGGCAGCTCAATGACCGTAAGGGTATGTAACCCAATCTTAATTTTTTTTTCTCTCCTTAGGAGATGCTGTCCATGCTGGGAGACCAAAGCAACAATTACAACAATGAAGAATTTCCTGATCTAACTATGTTTCCCTCCTTTTCAGAATAGAACTATTGGGGTGAGGATAAGGGGTGGGGGAGAAAAATCACTGTTTGTTTTTTAAAAGCAAAACTTTTGTAAACAGAATAAAAGTTCCTCCCCCTTCCCTTCCCTCACCCCTAAGGGATACCCCTTTTCCTTCTGGGATTTCCTTGCCCTCCCCTTCTCTTGCCTCTCTGAGGTAACAGTTATAGAAGAAATGAAATGAATCCCCAAGGCTTTTATGACCCTTTGAAAATTTGAGGCTAGGCAAGGTTAGAATGCCTTTTCTTATGTCTCTTGAASAGAAGTTAAACAACAATGATTGTGCTAGGGTTAAGGTGCAGGTTAGAACCTGATGTCCATTACTTGCCTTGGATACACTGTGGCTTTTCTGGAAAGAAATTCGAGGAGAGGAGAAATGTCCTCATATTTGAGGACATGAAACATGGTAGGTATATTTGGGGCTTTGGGAAGTGAACATAGGCCCTTTCTGCTACCTGTGAGCAATTCCTCTGGAAAGAAACGTGAGATTGAGTGAGTGTTTGTGTATGTATATGTGTCTCAGTGTGTGTATATATGTGGTGCACACGTTTCTGTATTTCTTTCTCCCTATTAGGGAGTTATGCAAAATTTGTCAGATTTTTATCTTTGTGCTCTTCAATGAGTTCTAAGAAGATAAATCTTCCAGGTATTTTCACTTAGTATTGCAGCCAAAGAGTGTTTAAATAATTGTCTTTGCTGCACTTATATCTATGCTCAGCTAATATGCAACTATAGACAAAGTCTTCTGTTAATATGGTTGGTCTCTCAAACGTGTTCAGTGATAAAGCTGGATTACTCCCGCTTTTGGTGCTCTCACCTTATCTGGAAGATCGGCAAACATTACTGAAATAGGCTGACAAAYGCTTCCAGAAACCCCAGACTTGGCCATACAGATAATGCTGCATTTTTCTGTCAGAGTCACACATTATGTGTGTTCTATGGAGCTTATTTTCTGCATGGAAACTCAACTTCTTGGATTAGTCCCAGTGAAAATCCTCACTGTTGGAATGAAAACCAAATACAAAGTCCTATTGTAAAGTAGCCTCTTCCATGTCATCCTCAAAATATTCCATATAATAAGAAACAAATTTAGGTTCCTCCTGGGCCTATAGTTCTTTCCTCTCTGCTCCCTTTCCAATCTTGAGATTGGATTTTGCTTTAGAATGCAAGTATGATAACTCCATGTGTTAGGTGGGGCCTAGACTCCTATCCCAGCAGGATTAGTTGGTCATTATAGCCATATAAAAATAGGCTACTACTCTCACTCTTTGCCTTCCTCAGGTAAGTCATATATATTAGCCTTTTTTGTTTTTTAATTGGCTTCAGTTGTTATCTAAGTGCAAGATGGAAATAAGAAGTGAAGACATTTTAAGTGTATTCATAGAGGACTGAGGATCAAAGGTGGCCTTGGAGAGGCTGAGGGAATGTCATTTCCTGGGTTTCTCTCCCTTTTGTCTTCAGTCTGGTGCCAGATGGTGGGATGGAAAAGAGACAGTTTATTTTTTTATTCTATGTGCACACATACAGTATACATATATATTTATATCACAATTTACAAAACCAAAAAGTTGAGTTTCCAATGGAATCCTTGTTTTTTAATAATCGACTGTTTTTAAATGTGATCAGGACTATAATATTGTACAGTTATTATAGGGCCTTGGGGGAAGGGGAGGGCAGGGAGAAGATGCTCTGGGGGTTTTGTTTCTGCTTTTCCTTCAGGGTTTTATTTTTGATTTTTTTTTTTTCTCCTTGTTGGCCATTTCTGTATTGCTGGCATCTGTGCTAAGCCTTACAGTGGCAAAAATGACGACATGTAGCAAATATTTTAAAACAAAATATTTTTTCCTTTTGTAAAAACTTCTTGTGTTGTGTGATCTTGATTGCGGCTTTATTATTCCTTTCCGGTCAGAAACCAACAGACACCCACAACTAAAGGGAGCCACTGCTTGAGCTTCAAACACAACAATCATAAAGCACAGTGTGAGTCTTTAATTTCAGGAATCAGAAATCATAGGGCCCTGATCACTCAGCACCCCTCCTCCTCACTTGCCCTCCTGATCTTGACACATTTTGAGTAAAATTTATCAGAGACATTCTGACCACATTGGGTGGGGGTGGAGTTGCCCAAGCCTGTGGGGGAAAGGGGAAGAGTTAGGACTTGAAACCATTAGGGCACATATATAGATGCCTTTTCCAGTATGTCTTTGGGGGGAAAAAAAAAAGTGAGGAATTGGGAAATCTAAACTGTTCAAGTCTGGGCCTGGTTTTTCCCTAGGACCGTGTGGTTCATTAGCCACTCTTAAAATCCAGAGGCACAATAAGCCTGAATTCTTGAGAGTAAGTTCGTGGAATCCAGCTAAGAACTGAATCTGAATCCCATGAATTATCCTTTCTATTCCGGTGACCCTCTTTCCCCACATCTGTTTATGGAAGAAAATGGATCTTGGGGGTGTGGTTTGGTAACTGAATTAGACTCTTATGATCTGTCACATGCCTGGATTTGGGGGAAGCATTTGGAGAAGCTCATGTGACTGGATTGGGGATTTTAATAATTGAGACATGCTCATCACACATCCACCATCTGAGAGTTTTAGCAATAGAGTCACATGTGAGTCCATCAGTCCGTTGATTCAAGTGTTATAAATAACTAGGAGTATTGTTTCTGCTGCCTTTTAGAACCAGTTTCATCTAACTTTCTAGGCAGATCCTCCCTCTGCAAAATCACATTAGGCTAGGAAAGCTATTCCCGCCTGGAAAACATGATGCCTTTTAATCAACAATATCATAAAATACAATTTTGAAGCTTATGTCTCTCCTTATGTTATTTATTTCTAGCCTTTTGTGTTTCTTCCATCATCCCAGAGGTGAGGATCAGACACAAATTTGAAAATAGGTTTCACTGTTAGGATTTTAGGGAGGTGGGTCATAACAAGGGTAGGGAATGATGCAATCCCTTGATATTAAAGGAAGGTGAGGGAAGATCAGGGTTATACATCCATTTCCCCAGCAAAGGAAAAGGTAAGCTCCTTTACTAGAGTCATGTGTACTGATGTCTTTTCTCTGCCTCCAGAGAGTCATGTGAAACTCAACACCTACCTAGCAGCTCTCCACCCTAGCACACTACACTGCACACAGAAATGTGCAAATCTGCTTCCTCCTTCCTTCCACCCTAACCCCCCTTTTCTCAACATTTCTATCCCCGCCTCCTTTCCTCATCTAAATTTTCCAGCCAACCGCTATAGCTGACTTCCGCAATCCTGATGGAATAAATCTAGCACTCCTAGTCTTCTACCCACATTAGCGACACTTCCTGTCTGAAAGGAGCCCAGACAGCAGATTCCCAGCAGCAGGTAAAATTTTTGACTTTCTAGATTTTTTTAGCTTATCATTTCTGCCACTTCTTTATTTTGAGAGTATTAGGGATGTAGTGAGTTGGGGATGAAAGTAAACTGTATAAGCTCTGCATATTGAAAACATGCCCTTCTTAGTTCTCCTTGACAAATAAAATCTGTCTGGAAGTCTTTAGGATTCCTTGTATGATTCGTATATATGTATACATGATTGTTATTAAAAGCAAAAAAAAAAAAATAGGGAATCCTTTACCCATTCTTCAAAAGTAGCTTCTAGAGTGTTTTTGCTTTGCCCAAAGTGTTAATTGACTACAGAGAATGAGGAGGAGTGGTACCAGTAACTGGGTATTTCTGCTCTGAGATATCCCCAAACCTTTTAACACTCTAGCTATTAAATGCTCTGCTAGAAATTTAACACGGGTTTGTAAAGATTACATAAAAACGGACTATACATTTAGTTCATGCAAGTCTTAGAATTCCTCGAGACTGCAAACTTCTTAAAACTGAAAGATCTGCAATTAAGCCAATTCAAGAAAGGAGTGAAACTTTACTTCTGAAATGCTATGGATTTAATCATCATTGAAAATGCTTTTCCATCCTGCACTCTAACTTTGATTCTGATCCTTTTGCACTGTGAGGTAGTCACAGATATTTTTCACTGTTGGAAAAAGAAAAGAAAACCTACCCACGAACATCTGGTTAAAATTAGGGCAGTTTCCGGTCTATGGAGGGAGGGGGTATGAGCAAGGAAGAAGAAATGCRTAAGGAGAGTGAGGAGACAGTAAACATCTCATTGTTAAATAAGGAAATGCTATCAACTTTTCCCTTGTCCCCTCCTGACGAGATCTGGAAAACTCAGAATTAAGGCAAGTAAGTAATGAATGCCTTGAAGAAATGATTAGGAAGCAAAATGTAGCTGGAAGTCTCCTATGTGTATTCTCCAACCCATTCTCACTTTGCACTTAATTTGTCCATCTTCAAACTTGTAGAGGACAATGAAGAAAACAAATGCTGAACCCACTCGTCCAATTTCCACTCCATTTCTGATTGTACAAGTGTGCATGTGAATGTTGGTTGAATCTCTCTATGTCAGAATACTTAGAACTTACGTACCAGCACCTCATGGAAACCTAGCCTCTTGTCATTGTTTTATCATATAAAGATCACTCTCAGTTCCTTGCTGACCTCCCTTATAGAGCCAAGTTTCCCTGTGCCACATGGTTCCAAGGAAGGGTTTCTATCTTTGGGTTCATGAATCCCCTAGGATTGTTGTGTGTGCATGCATTTTTCTGGTGAGAGAAACGATTAGCGCCTCAAAAGAGTCATCTATGACTTCTAGAAGGTTAAGCCACCTAGTGGAAATATGGCTCTAGCTATTTTCCACACTCCAAGCCAGGCTGTGAACTTATGCCAAATGGAAGTGTCTCCCCTAATTATTCCCTTCCCCAGGATGTGGGGGCTCAAGCTTCTGCTGTTACCCATGGTGAGCTTTGCTCTGTATCCTGAGGAGATACTGGACACCCAATGGGAGCTATGGAAGAAGACCTACAGGAAACAGTATAATGGCAAGGTGCCTGGGAACCCAAAGGGAGCATGGCAGGAGAGCTGGAACCTGAGATTTCCTGTCTTAGCTTCCAGACTACCTTCTTCAATCCAGTACTTTACTCCAACCAAGCAAACCTGTCCCCTAACTCTTAACATGTGATTCTCATTTTGGTACCTCAACTCACAATCTATCAAGACCTATCCTTCCTAGCTTTATAACTGCCTGGCTTCAATTCCCTGTACCACAAGAAAAGAAAAGTAGTGTGACTGTCTTATATTTGTCTTTTGGGAAGACTTGTCAGATTAATGCTATTAATCTGAGTAATATTTCTATAGATTTCTCCATAGTTTTACATTGTACTGTTTGATTTGCTCCCATCTTACTGTTTGCATGCTCTTAATAATTCATGATTAGTTCCCCAACTACATTGTAAACCCCTTGTGATTGTAAGTTGCATCTTTTCACAATATCACCTATATAAATTTGCATACAGTCTATGCAGGTACTGACTATGCTCTGTTTAGGTGGATGAAATCTCTCGGCGTTTAATTTGGGAAAAAAACCTAAAGTATATTTCCATCCATAATCTTGAGGCTTCTCTTGGTGTCCATACATATGAATTGGCCATGAACCACTTGGGGGATATGGTGAGTTGAGTCTCAGCTCTTGGCCTACCTGCCATTTTTGCCTTAGTTCCCTGCTAAAGCTTGGCTTCTTTCTTCTTTGTCTCAGACCAGTGAAGAAGTGGTTCAGAAGATGACTGGACTCAAAGTACCCCCATTTCATTCTCAAAGTAATGACACCCTTTACATCCCAGACTGGGAAGGCAGAGCCCCAGACTCCATTGACTATCGAAAGAAAGGTTATGTCACTCCTGTGAAAAATCAGGTACTCTTCTTTTGGGGTATGTGTAAGTAATCTGGCATGATCTGTTCCTTTTTCTCCTGCTTTGTTGTCAAGATAGGAGGACATGATGAAGAGGGGACAAAGAATTAAGGTATATCTCATACTAAGAGTATGTAGCCTGTTTTTTAACTCATTACCTATTTTTGAATATTTAGGTTGCTTCTGGGGCTTATTATAAATAGTGTTGCAATACACACTCTCATGCATGTATTTTTGTGCACATGTTAGAAATCGTTATACAACATAAATCCTAAAATTGTAATTGCTAGGTCACAGTTTTTGGAATCCTTTCCAAAAATGTTTTTACAATTTTATATTCTTTTTTTTTTCCTAAAGAGAGAGTGAGAGAGAGAATTTTAATATTTATTTTTTAGTTTTTGGCGGACACAACATCTTTTGTTTTTTTGTATGTGGTGCTGAGGATCGAACCTGGGCTGCAACGCATGCCAGGCGAGCGTGCTACCGCTTGAGCCACATCCCCAGCCCAATTTTATATTCTTATCAGCATGAAAATGTCAGCTTTCCCATGACCTTAACAGAGGATTGTTATCAATAAGATGAACACTTGACTTAACACTTATTTACATATACCACCCCCTTGGATCCCATCACAGTGCTGGGTAATAGATTCAAGATGGCTAAGACACAAGCTGTGTCCTCAAGAAATTCTCCATTTTAGAAAGAGCAGGAAAGAAGAAAAACTACAACCTAGCAGAACAAATACTAATAATAACTAACATTTTTTGAGAGATTACTATGAGTAATAAACTTCTAAATTATTATATGAGTTAAATCTATTAATCCCAAAACACTTCCATTAAGTATGCTATTATGCACATTTTCCAGATGAAACTGAAGCACATATAGATTTAGTAATTTACCCAAGGTCACATAATTAGTGAGTACAAAGCTAGGGTTAGAACCCAGGAGACCTAACTCCAAAGCCAGTATGCTATTGTCTCTGTTCTATGGCAGCTAATCATACTCTTATCATAACATCAATAGCAATAGAATAATACAACAAATGTTAAATGAAGGAGAATAGATAGACCTCACAACAATGGCAATGTTTGTGTCAGAACTTATGAAATGCATGAAATTTCATCAGGCAGGTAGATAGAAGATATAGAATGTGTGACCAGGAATGACTCATAAGTTGCTCTATATGCCCCTCAGGGTCAGTGTGGTTCCTGTTGGGCTTTTAGCTCTGTGGGTGCCCTGGAGGGTCAACTCAAGAAGAAAACTGGCAGACTCTTAAATCTGAGTCCCCAGAATCTGGTGGATTGTGTGTCTGAGAATGATGGCTGTGGAGGGGGTTACATGACCAATGCCTTCCAATATGTGCAGAAGAACCACGGTATTGACTCTGAAGATGCCTACCCATATGTGGGACAGGTGAGACTGCTTGGTACAGTTATACAGCTCTGTAAGGGTTCCTTTTTCCCTAACATTATTATTTTTTTAAAATTGGAAACAACTCCAGAAATCTTGTTTTCTTTTGTACTATTCTGCTTTCTTAACTTCTTTTGTCACTTTGGCCCCAGTGTGGAATACCTAAAAAAAACTTAAATATAGCATAAAATATATAATATTATATAATGATTATATAATAATTTAAGTACAATATAATTGTATTATAATATAGTGCCTATATTATAATGTTAACATAATAATATAGAAACTCTAGATTATTATTTCTAACCTATTTTAATGCACCTGTGTCAATTTTGTTGAAATATTCACAGAATTGAAAGATTGCAACTTAATGAGTTAAAGGGATGGTTTCCCACAGAAGGCCAAGAAGATTCCCACAAGATGGGAGAACTTTGGGAGCTTAAGATACCATAGCTATAAAAAGAGGATGTTATTCCATAAAACTCTAAGCGGGTCTCTATAACCCTCTGATAAAATCTGCATTCCTACAAATAAACTCACAAACCTACCATGCTATTTTTATGTTCATGTGGCTTTAGTTTATATGATCTCAGTGGGGTTTTAAGAAAATTATGTAAGTTAACATGCTAACATATAAAATGAGACAACAAATCAAGTTGCATTATATTTATTTTAGAGATAAAGAATTAGCTCATTTCCTCCTACATGGTTCTTTAGTAATAGGAAGGAGATCTTTCTTGCCTAAAAAGGAGGAAATCTGAGGGTTTTTAAAATATTCTTGGGGCTGATAGACAACATAATAAGGGCTTTTGCCATGGAGACTTTGCAAAAAAGATAGCAAGTTTGAACGATGAAAATGATAACTATTATGTGTTAAACTGTATCCCTAGTACATTTTCTTTTGATCTGCATAAGAGCTCTGTAAGATAGACTTGTACTCACTTTAAAGGTGAGGAATTTAATATTTAAGGAGATGAACCTACTCAAATTCATACCACTAGAATGTAGTAAAGACAAGCTTTATCAGCCAGGTCTTTTATCTGATATAAATTTTCCTAGATAAGTCTTCCATGAACATGTATAAGATTTTTGTACTGGATAAAGTACTTTGGAACAGAATTGTCTGGGCCTCAGGGTGTGTATATATTTAACTTTATTACATAATGTCAATTATTTCCCAGTACTAAATATTGAGCCCAGAGGTGCTTTACCACTGAACTACACATCCAGCCCTTTTTATTTTTTTATTTTGAGACAGGGTCTTGCTAAATTGCTGAGGGTGGTGTTGAATTTACAATTCTCCTGCCTGGGATTACAGTCACATACCACCAAGACCAGCTCATAATATCAAATTATTTATCAAAGTATGTGAAAAATGTATACTGTCAAAAGAAAGTATTTAAATTGGATTGTGTTTTATCTTTGCTACTGATTTTTAAAATTTTTAATTTACTTTATATTATTATTATTGTTTGGTATTGGGGCTTMAACCCAATACCAAATAATACCCACTGAGCCACATCCCCAGACCTTTTTTGTATTTGTTTAGAAACAAGGTCTCACTGAGTTGCCTAGGGCCTCACTAAGTTGCTGAGGCTGGCTTTGACCTCATGATCCTCCTACCTCAGCCTGCTGAGCCACTGGGATTACAGATGTGCATCACCATGCCCAGCTGTTACTGATTTTTATGAACTTCAACAAGATATTTAGATACTAATTCTGTATGTGTTGTAAGTCAAGGTTTGTCTTTTTATTATTTTTATGATGTCTTTCAATCTAGGAAAGTTAATTTTTATGTAGTAAAATTATTAATTATTTCTTTGCAATTTATGTCTCTAAAAAACCTAATGTACCAAGTTTTTTAATTCATATATTGTCATTTGAAATATTTACTGCAATAAAGTGCTCATTTAATATGAATGACTATAGAAACCCATTTTCATGGATCTTCAACAATCTACTTTAATACATCCTCATGAAAATGGCCGTATCAAAACAGTGCTTTATTTTGTTTATTTTATTCCATAAACATTCTATGTTATGATTTTTCAGTTGTCAGACATAGAAGGCAAAAAAAAAAAATGGAAGTGTACCTGGAAAAGAAAGTCTGAGCAGGGCACAGTGGTGCACACCTGTAATCCTACTCTCTGGGAGGTGGAGGCAGGAGGATTTCAAGTTTGAGGTCAGCCTGGGCAACTTAGTGAGACCCTGTCTCAAAATAAAATTTCCAAAAGGGCTGGGGGTGTACCTCAGCATTAGCATGCTTGCCTAGCATGTGTGAGGTCTTAGGTTCAATCCCTAGTATGCCAAATAAATAAATAAATAAATAAATATAAAATAAAAAGTCTTTAATCCATATATAATTAACAGAACTGATAGTTCCCATCCAAGTCCATATATGAACTTGGACAAAGGCAAAGCATATTAAAGTTACCATAATAGATTAGCTTTTTAATTCTGACTACATCATATCATTTAGTGAGATAACCTGAGCTTGGTCTTAACTTTTTGTYCTCATATGCTATTAAAAAAGAGAAAGGAGTGAAGGAAGGAGGAAAGAAGAAAGGAAATAAATTCCAATGATTTATGCAGAAAACAAACTTGTTTTTACGATTTTCTGCATCTTTATAATTCACAGCTAATTTAAAGTTATATGTCACAATATTAGAAACAAATAAATACTACCAGAACTAATAGTTCATCCACTGAAAACTTGCATCATTTACATTATATTAATCTGATTGTTAAGAAATGGTTTAATGAATGGCTTGGAGACTCTAAATAATTTAAATGAAAATTATAAAATACTTCAAACTCTATTTTGGAATGAAAGGAAAATTTGACTTCTAATTTCTGTTTTCCTTCACCCTCAAATAATTTCTTCCTCATTTTACAGCAAYGTGGAATAAAGTTGGCCTTTTTATCAGTTAAAATGAAAACTTAACCAGACAATTTGTGTGAAGACACAAATTCCATTTTTTCATAGTCTGACTTTTGCTTGGACTTTACAGTTTCTAAAAGCAGTTATTGTCCAAAACCAAAGTAATTTTTCTTCTCAAATGAGCTTGTGAATGAATGGAGGGGAGTTTAAAAAAAATTAAAGAAGTGATCTGATGGGTAGCAGCCATATAAGACTTTTTTTTTCTGAGAAAAAGAAAAATGAAGGTTTATTGCTTTGCCGGCAAAGGAGAAACACAGGGAGCTCCTTTCCCAAAGGCTGTGATTTTTCCCACCAGGAGAAGCAGGCGTTCCAAAGAAGTGATTCAAAGGCTTCACCCCACGTTCTCAGTCAGAGTTGTAATTCACTTGATAATTTGGGAGAAGGTCATTTCTGAGATCTTCTGGTACTATCCCCAAAGTCTGAATTTCTTTGTTCCTGTGGTGAGTTATCAGGGACAGATAACTCATGTCTAAAATGGGGAAGGAAGGTAATCCTATTTCCCTAAGGGACGAATGGGGAGAGATTAGGGAAGAGCAGGGAGGGAGGAAGAGAAAGAAATATGTCCATTTTTTTTTTTTAAAGTTGCAGTGGCAGAGCAGCAGCAAGGGCTGTATATAAAACATGAAGTAGACCACTGTTTCATGTGTATCTATTTTCCTAAATAAACCTGTCTAATGCCTTTAAAAAGAAAGAGGGAAGCTCAGTTGGTAGAGTACTTGCCTAGCATGTGTGAGGCACCTGGGTTCAATTCTCAGCACTGCATATAAGTAAATAAAATAAAGGTCCATTGGCAACTAAAAAAAAATTAAAAAAAGAAAAAGAAATCCCATGTGAAGGAAAAGCGAGGAATGGGAGCTGGGTGAGCGAGAAATGAAAGATGGAGACCAAGCAGAGATACACAGGAGAGTAGATTTGTCAGAGCTGACAAATAAAGGCCATCTCTCTATATGAGAGAGAGGCCCAGAGAAGAATATTTTAAAGGACAATAACAAAGCTATTCCAGTCACAATGCAGATTTTTCTGACTTTAGTGCATTATCACCTGATATCTTTTGGAGTCCGTGTCAAAATATTCTGTTTTACTTATATATAAATCTGTGTTGTTTTTTTTTTTGTGATGCTGGGGATTGAGCTGAAGGCCTCGTGAATGCTAGGCAAACTCTCTATCAGAGTTACATTCCTAGCCTAATATGTGCAATTTTGACACCAGGAAGCATCATGGATTTGGATCACATGGGAGAGAACAAAGGGCTCTCAATAAATCATTAAGGCAGTAGACCACAGTAATCTTAGAATATCATATCAAATGCTCCCATTACTGTTAATATTTAGATAATACATTCTTTTTATAGATATAACTTAAGATTTTGTTTTTGTTTTTTTTTTATTTTTTTTAAGAGAGAGAGAGAGAAGAGAGGGAGAATTTTTTTAATATTTATTTTTTAGTTCTCGGCAGACACAACATCTTTGTTTGTATGTGGTGCTGAGGATCCATCGAACCTGGGCTGCACTCATGCCAGGCGAGTGCGCTACTGCTTGAGCCACATCCCCAGCCCATAACTTAAGATTTTGAAGGAATAGTTTGTAGGAAGATATGTTGCCATTAGACTCCATAATTGTGGCTTGACAATAAAACATATTGCTGGGCTGGTGTTGTCATTCAGTGGTAGAGCACTTGCCTAGCATGTGTGAGACACTGGGTTTGAGTCTCAGCACTGCATACAAATAAATAAATAAATAAATAAATAAATAAATAAATAAATAAATAAAAATAAAGGCCCATTGACAACTAAAAATATATATATATTAAAAAAACATTCCTAATTAGATTTGCAAAATATGGTGTTGGGAGGTCATAAACTAAATTGCTGCTGTTAATCTATTTTAGTACTGTGTTATATACTTTTTAAATATCTGCACAAAGGTCCAGCCAAAATTCTGCTTCACACTAGGTTCCCTGATACAGATTCAGAGGTCCCAGATCCTCCTAACTGAGCTTTGGCCTTGGCCTTTTCCCCACAGAGCATCTGGTACCTCCTGTACTCTGAGGCTCACACATACTACACAGCCAGAAGATGATTTGTGCTTTATAAAAAATAAATCTTATTTCGAGCTGGGCATGGTAGGTGCACACCTGTAATTCCAGATACTCAAGAGACTAAGCAGGAGGATCTCAAGTTCAAGGCCAGCCAGGGAAACATAGTGAGACCCTGCCTCAAACTCAAAAGAACTGGGGATGTAGCTCAGTGCTAGAGTGTCCCTGGGTTCAATCCCCATATCTCCAAATTATCATCATTATCTTATTTCAGAAATCTTTTCATACCCTGGTATAATAAAAACAGACTCTCTTTCTTAAGTTCTAGGGTTTTTCCTTAGGTCTTTAAACTCCCTAGAGTTGATATTTATGAGTGGCAGAAGGTAGCAATCCAGTTTTCATAGCTTTTTAAAATGGTAAAGAGGAACAGACCTAGAGATTCTAGTCTGCTGCCCTTCTTAGTTCATTGACATTACTCAGAACACTGGTTAAGTTTCTCACTCCCCAACTCATTCCCTAATGCTTGGTCCTAGTCCTATTACAAACTGTTTCTTTCCAGGAGGAAAACTGTATGTACAACCCAACAGGCAAGGCAGCTAAATGCAAAGGGTACAGAGAGATCCCTGCAGGGAATGAGAAAGCTCTGAAGAGAGCAGTGGCCCGAGTGGGACCTATTTCTGTGGCCATTGATGCAAGCCTGACCTCCTTCCAATTTTACAGCAAAGGTAAGAAACAGTGCCTATAGAACATTCTCTTTTATGATGGGCTTGGTGACTTCTTAAAGGATCCTGAACATTTTCAATACTTAAGTTTTCATATCCGGACTCAGTCTACTAGAGAAAAACTGACAGCTGTCACAATGTAAAGCCATCTCTGTTTTAAACCTTCTTGACTGGGACAGAATCCTAGAATCTCCTAGAATGAGACCCTACTGGGCAACTCTTGGATTGCAGAGTCTCATCTTGGCAGTTTGTTTCCTAGGTGTGTATTATGATGAAAGCTGCAATAGTGATAATCTGAACCATGCAGTTTTGGCAGTGGGATACGGGATCCAGAAGGGAAAGAAGCACTGGATAATTAAAAACAGGTAATGATGGGGACACTATCTCTATCATTAAATCACCCTTATGATACTCAAACTAATCTCCAGCTTCTGGATATTTTTTGATTTCTCCCAAATCAATAGAAAATTATCTCAGGTTCTTTAGTTCTACCTTCTCAGAGATTCTTAATTCTGAAGCTAACATTGAGACAGTAGTGCTAAAATATATGTTGATTACCTGCTCCATATGCAAGATGCTTAGTCCCATGTACAAATGAGTAAATGTCTGCCTTCAGTAACATTTACTCACAACTGAAAAAGAAAGACTGACTTAACTAACCATGACATAAAGCAGCACTAATAACCAGCTCCTTTCCTCAGTAATCTCGTCTACTCTTGTAGTTTCATCCATCTTATCTTTGGAATTTACTCCCAGTTCAAGATCACTGGCCTCAGTCTTTCTTGTCTCAGTAAATCTAACTCAACTTTCAGTTGATAATTCAACCTGATTTCCAACTACCTTTCCAGACCTATCTCCCACTACACTCTGTCAGGCACTTTGTTTTTCAGTCACTTGATCCTAACACATTTCTTGTCTGTATTGTTAATTTCATACCTCCACTGGCAACCCATTCCCACAGGTCCAAATTCTACCCAGCTTTTCAGCACAGGCTCAAATGCCACTTCTTACATCAAACTCTCTTCATCCTCTTGATCAGAAGTAATCTAGTCTACCTTTGGGATGGATAACATTATCGCTCCACTTCTTACTTTAAACTTATCTTTAAAGGTAAAAACCATCTTACTCATTTTTATTTTTGTACGTTGTCAAGTACCTAGCACAATATAGTAAGTGCCTTAAAGAATAAATAAACTGATGGTAATAAGTATTTTTCTTGATTGATCTTACAGCTGGGGAGAGAACTGGGGAAACAAAGGCTACATTCTCATGGCTCGGAATAAGAACAACGCCTGTGGTATTGCCAACCTGGCCAGCTTCCCCAAGATGTGATTCCCACCATACAATCTCATCCTGTTCTTCCATTCCTTCTGATGATGCAATATAATGATGTACTTTGGAAGGGAGTAGGTGGATTGTTCTTGAAGCAGATGTGGTGACCCTGAGATTGTCTGTTTAATTATTCTACTCAGTCACAACCCTACTACTTTCTTTCTCTATACGCAAGGCCATTTTATTTGGGCCACAGGAGGAATTTCCTTGGAGGAATGTACATAGGCTGAGATGTGATCACAGCCTGCCTTGACTATGTTGTCTAGAGTTGATGCTGTACTGATAGAGGCTGGTGATCTTTGGGTAGGCTAGATTCTCATTCACTGGGACTAGTTAGCTTTAACCACCATAGGGGACTAAGGTGATCTGACTTCTCAGTTCCCAAGTTCTTTTATATCCTCAAGGTAGAAATTTCTGTGTTTTCCACTCCAATTCACAAGTCTTTGGTATAAGTTTACATGATATAAAAAGTGTGTTTTCTTTTTCCTTCCTTGTATTTTTGGAATAAAGTATTTATCTCTTGCCTACAATTTAATAAACAGCATTTAGAACACATTCATTTTGTGATGGGTATTGTACTAGGTGCTAGAGACAAAAATATGACCAAAATATGTTCCCAAAATATGTATTCACAGTCTGATTGGAAAAACTATCACATAATTCATTCCAATTCATTTATTTGTTCATTTCTTTAGCCAGTTTATTGAGTAGTTACTCCATACCAAGAACTGTACTAAATTTCTGGGATTAAATGGACCTGAGRAGAGCTGAGATTGTGGCTCAGCGGTAGAATGCTCAACTAGCATGTGCGAGGCCCTGGGTTTGCTCCTCAGCACCACATAAAAATAAATAAATAAAATAAAGTTATTGTGTCCAACTACTTCTAAAAAATAAATATTAAAAAAAATGGACCTGAGGAGATCTCAATATTTAATACTACCTGTGGGACAACCAGATTAAGTGAAACAGTGAAACCTATACCTGAGTCTTGAAAAATGTCTTGAGTCTTTCTGAGATTTGGTACCCTAAACTTTTGCTGTCAACAAAAGAGGGAATTGAAATTCCTTTTTAAATTTTTTGTTTTCCAGTACTGGGGATTGAATTCAGGGACACTTTACCACTGAGCGACAGTCTTAGTCCTTCCTTTTTATTTTCAGACAGGGTCTCATTAAGTTGCTGARGCTAGCCTCAAACCTGCTTCAGCCTCCTGAGTCACTAGGATTATAGATGTGTGCCACTGCTCCCAACTGGAAATTGAAATTCCTTACAAATAGTTCCAATCAGTGTTAATTCTAGAAGACTATATCAGCACAACTTGTTTTGCCATTTTTCACAAAATGTTTTATCAAGCATCTGTTATTACCACTAAAATGAGTTTACATTTTCCTGGCCCCAGGGCTCATACCTAGAATCCCAGCTACTTGGGAGGCTGAGGCAAGAAATCTCATTTCAAGGCCAGTCTGGACAACTTAAATAGACTATGTTACAAAATAAAATAAAAAGAAATGGATATGTGGCTCAGTGGTAGATCACCCATGGTATGATTGTGTTCTAAATGCTGTCTATTAAATTGAGGGCAAGATATAAATACTTTATTCCAAGTATTAATCCTTAGTACTGCAGGAAAAAAGTCCACACTTAGTGAATATTTATTCTGTTCAGGCATTTTTATTTCATGCTATGCAAAGATTATTTATTTTTGTTGGTAAATATTTATTAATATGTATAAAGCAATGTATTGAGACTAGGAGGATGRAAAATTGGCCCTAATTTCAAGACTATTATAGACTACTTAATATGATTTTGTATACCTGTAGTCCTAACTTCTTAGGCAGGAGGACCACTTAAGCCCAGGAATTCGAGACCAGCCTGGGCAACCTATCAGAACCCTGTTTCAAACAACAAACAAAATTCTTAAAGACCAGCCATTTGAGACCTGTGTATCATAGCACACACCTGAAATCCCAGCTACTCAAGGCTGATCACAAGTTCAAGACTAGCCTCAGCAACTTTGTGAGACTCTGTTTCAAAAAAATAAAAAAAGGTTGGTGATGTAATTCAGTGTTTGAGGTCTTGAGTTCAATCCTTAGTACATGAAAAAAAAATACTCTGTTAAAAAGTTGAGCAGTTTAAAATGGGTCCTCTGGATGTTTCTAAAACGAACAATAAAATAATTTATAGACACATAGGCATTTAATAGGCATCAAATATTTTTGAGCAAGAAGATCTGCATTTTAGTAATGATCCTCCAGCAATGGTATAAAAAAACAAAGAAGGATAAACAAAATGGAGATGCAAGAAATTGGAGGAAAGTCAACATTTAGGAGGCAACTTCACATACTGTATTGCTTCTCAAAAAAAAAAAAATAATGCAGGGGCTGGGGTTGTGGCTCAGTGGTAAAACGCTCACCTAGCACATGCGAGGCCCTGGGTTCAATCCTCAGCACCACACACACAAAAAAAATAATAAAAATAAAGGCATTTATTTAAAAAATAGAGCTGGGGATGTGGCTCAAGTGGTAACGCGCTCGCCTGGCATGCRCGGGGCGCTGGGTTTGATCCTCATCACCACATAAAAATAAAATAAAAATGTTGGGTCCACTGAAAACTAAAAAATAAATATTAAAAAATTGTCTCTCTTCTCTATCTTTAAAAAAATAATAATAGTGCACAGAAGTATAACTCTTTTGAGTATCAGTTTGATCTTGAGTATCAGTTTGCAGATAAAAGGGAGAGACAATCTAGACCCAACAAATAGTGTAGGCATGAGAAAGCATACATGTCCAGCATGCTTTTTTTGTCAAACTTTCAGAGGACCAAAGACAAGCTAGAAGGATATCTGATTCCCCATTGGGCAAATCTACACACAGTTCTGTTACTTTGATCTTGTTTTTTTCCCCCTTCTACCTATTTAGTAGTTCCTATTGTGCATATATGTGGAAAACACATTTATTCCATTTCTAAACATATTTGGGTTTATTTCAAGGTTTTTTAAAATTCCAGTTCATTAATATGTATAACTAGACTTATGTATTGTTTATTAATTAATGGAGTTTTTAATATGTTTTCATATCTAATAGTCTTCTGGTTATTACTTTGCTTTTCTATAATTTTTCTTGAATTTAAGTTGTCAAATTATCAAAAATCCTGCTTGTATTTTTATTTGGATCACACTAAATTTATCATAACTGAGGAAAATTGATCTCTTTCTACTATTGAATTTTCCCATCTGTTTTAGTCAGCTTTTTCGTTGTTGTGACTAAAGGACCCACCAGAATAACTGTAGAGAGAAAAGGTTTATTTGAGGGCTCATAGTTCCACAGGTCTCAGTCCATATGAGGCTGGCTCTGTTCCTCAGGGCTCAATATGAGGCAGGACATCATGGCAGAAGAGTGTGACAGAGAGAACCATCAGAGAGAGAAAGAGAATACATTCTCCAGATAGAAAATATATACCCYATAGCCACACCCCAATTAACTATTTCTTCCAGCCACACTCCAYCTGCCTCCAGTTACCACTCAGTTAATCCTATTAGGGATTAATTCACTATTTAGGTTAAGACTCTCACAACCTAATCATTTCTCCTTGAACTTTCTTCCTTTGTCTCACATGTGAGCTTTTGGGGGACACCTCATATCCAAACCATAACACTGTTTCAAAACAACACTGGCCTCAAGGTGCCCTGAGATCAAAGGAAAAGGCAGACAGATTCAGGATTATACTGAGTGCAATTTTTTTTTTTAATATTTATTTATTATTTATTTAGTTCTCGGCGGACACAACATCTTTGTTGGTACGTGGTGCTGAGGATCGAACCCGGGCCGCACGCATGCCAGGCGAGYGCGCTACCGCTTGAGCCACATCCCCAGCCCCACTGAGTGCAATTTATTGGGACATTTAATGTCTTGGGCAGCAGCAATATCAGTGGATCCCTGTGATTTGAATCATAAGTAAGAGCATGTTAAATGGTTTGAACAAAGGTGACCTCATGAAAGCCAGAATGTATCTAGTTTATCTCAAGCTATCAAAGGTTTCAGGCACATTCCTGGTGCTGATGGTTCCTAGGTCAATCCTAAAGCTCCCAGTCTAAGGGTTTTATTTATTTATTGTATGCTGGAAATCATGTGCACGGAAACAGACCAGGTTTAACTTGGGACAATCATGGTGGTTACTACTTAGAGATAACTGCAGTCAGGTCARACTGAATCTACATACTTCCCTTCCCATCCCTTCACTCCCCTCTACCTAATCTAAGGTAACTCTATTCTTCCCTAGTACACTACCCCCCACACCCCACCCCACCTTATTGTGAATTAGCATCCACATATTAGAGAAGACATTCAGCCTTTGTTTTTTGGGGGGATTGGCTTATTTTGTTTAGCATGATATTCTCCAACTTCACCCATTTACCTGCAAATGCCATAATTTCATTCTTCTTTAAAGCTATGTACTCAACTATTTTATCTTTTTTAAAAATATATATTTTTTAATTGTAGATGGACAATAGCTTTGTTTGTTTATATGTGGTGCTGAGGATTGAACCCAATGCCTCACACGTGCTAGGCAAGTCCTTTACCACTAAGCTACAGCCCCAGCCCATCAGCTATTTTATCTGAAATCCTATTTTTATTTATGTTTTTCATTTCATTCTCTATTTTTTTTTAGCATTTAAGTCCATGATACACAGAGCTAATTTTACTCCTTTCTTTCCAGTTTTAACCTCTTATTTTTTTTTCTTGTCTGTTTGCATTAGATCATTCCTCCAAAATGGTACTTAGTAATAGAGGTGATAGATCCTCACCTAGAAACCTGATTCTTTTCATGAGTATATGAAATTCTACGGTAAAGATGTTCATAACTGGGGCTTGGGATGTGGCTCAAGCAGTAACGTGCTCGCCTGGCATGCGTGTGGCCCGGGTTCGACCCTCAGCACCACATACAAACAAAGATGTTGTGTCCGCCGAGAAGTAAAAAATAAATATTAAAAAAAAAGATGTTCATTAAATGCACATGCTACTTTGTCAGAGATATATATAATATTGCATTTATTATTTTTTACCTTTATTTTATTTGTTTATTTTTTATGTGGTGTTGAGGATCTAGCCCAGTGCCTCACATGTGCTAGGCAAGCACTGTACCACTGAACCACAACCCCAGCCCTTGCAATTAATTATTAATACTTTGACATTAAATTATTATTTTTTAAAAAAGTTTTTTAGTTGTAAACACAACACCTTTATTCTTTTTTAAGAGAGAGAGAGAGAGAGAGAATTTTAATATTTATTTTTTAGTTTTCAGCGGACACAACATCTTTTGTTTTTTTGTATGTGGTGCTGAGGATCGAACCTGGGCTGCAACGCATGCCAGGCGAGCGTGCTACCGCTTGAGCCACATCCCCAGCCCTTAAGCTATTTTAAAACTATTATATTCTCTAATCTGTTATTCTTTTTTTATCTTTTTTTTTTTTT